TCACACAACATAATTAACAAGCAAAGCCTAGCTGTCAAAACACCTTTAAATTACTTATTTGATAATTGTAAAAAAATGGCAGACACCATCTTACCTGTTCCCATGAAGGTCATCGACTGAACTATGAGATTTGAAGCAATGTAAGAGGACTTTCTCTGCGATAAATTTAAAACAGTTGAAGAGAATAGCACATTGTTTTGGACATAAATTCATCCATGCATTTTTGATTAGCTCGTTTGGCGTCTTTTTAACCCCATTACGGATGGGCTTTTTTGGGTTTCCTGGAACCGTGGTGGGAAAGGGGAGCTTGGAGATCATCCTCTATAACTTTAAAATCGCCAATTAAAGCCACCAAATTTACACACCATTATGATCCTGCATAATGTTATCTGTGACCGTTTTAAAATCCTCCTATACTTTTATTGTCGCAAAGGCGAAATGACGTCATTTTGACAACAAATTGTTTAATACTGTACATTGGATGAACTCACATATCACTATAAAATTCTTTCCACTAAAAATGCTAAATAAGTTGTAAGGTACTATAAAAATAGGCCAAAATAAAATACTTTTTTAGTGGAAAAAAGGCAATAAATTTTTGCTAAACTTTTGGCTGAAATGAATCTCGGTTCCCGGAAATGTTGACGTAACGTCCGGGAATTTTTTATTTTTAGTTTTTTAGTTTTTAACTATGCTAAGTTTATCACAGTTTGTCCGAAACTGAGCTTGGTGGCTTGCCTGACGCAAACTTGCACAAGGGTAGGCTAACTAAACAGCCAACATTTCGCGAGATCACCACTGGTTTTCCCGTGAAATGATGTCTGAGGAACAAGTGCAGAAATTCCATACAGATGACTTATCACCACCCTTATCTGGGCTGAGTGCTTCTGATTGGCAGTTCCACCTGGTAAGTATCTTCAACCAATCAGAAGATTTACCCGGATCTAGATAGGCAGTAAAAGGCAGACAGTATGGAATTTCTTCACTCTTTCCTCAGACGCCATTTCGCAGGGAAGCCAGTAGTGTCGCACTAACTGTCGGCTGTTTTCTCAGGCTAGCATATTATGTCTATTATATAACTAGTCTGCCTCGCAGCCGTTTTTTTTTCGTCACGAACGCTCCTCTCCAACGTTGCGCGACGAAACAATAAACTTCTGCGAGGGAGGCTATTATATAACTGACTTGATGGTCTCTAGCAGTTTTCTCTAAGGAAATTCAAACCTTACCACAACGCCTGCAGCCGTCACAGACAACTTTTTGTTGATTTGACACGAAGGCTCTTTGGTTCCGATGTGGAAAATCAGACAAAACAAGAGACCAATTCCAACCAAGATTAAAGACATGACCTGAAAAAAAAGGAAGCGAGGAAAAAGTTTTATAACTTTGTAACGGAGGAAGCTCAGTTACTGATGTCCATATTATTAATAATTACCGTAAAATCCATTGCATTTTCTGCTGTTAGATGTTCGCTATTGTCTTGCCCGAAAATAGCCCACGCCACAACTAAGGTTATGATACCACTCAGGAAAGAAAAAGCGGTCCTTTAAAAAAAAAGAAACAAACAACGAACGATGAGTGTTGCAACATGTCAATTTTGGTTGTCTTGAGTATCTGAGTTCGCAGTACATGTTACATGGCCGCTTTGATAAGAAATCTTAAAAACTTTCAAACGGAGAAATTTTACAAACATTCACCTTTCCTTCAAATACTGATATTCTTGATCACCATTTTTGCACCCCCCCCACCCCCCCCCCCCCCCCCACACACAACAACAAACACAAACACACACATATACTCCCAACAACACAACACCAACAAACGAGGGGGGTTGCAACACATTAATTTTTGTTTTTTTGAGTTTCTGGGTTCCGCGTAAATTTTAAATGGCCGCTTTGAAAAAAAATTTTAAAAACTTTCAAACGGAGAAATTTTTAAAAACTTCCCCTTTCCTTCCAATAATGATATTTTTGATCCCCCTTTTTGCCCCCCCCCCCCCCCCGCCCCACCAAAAAAAAAAATGCAAAACAAAGTTCCATCAATTTCGCCATAACAGCCACCATAAATTTATGTTGCAAGCATCTAAACAATAGGAAATAGCACCTCTTCCCGAATATCGATCGGGAACGAAAAACGTAAATAATGAGAAAGCGCAATTTGACTCTGCATTTTGTTATTTGAGTCACTGAAAAAATTACAAACCTCCATGCGCTCATTTCCAAAGCTTCGCTTTGATTTTTAGCGATGACAGGAATGATCGACAAATGTCCGACGTTCATAAGAGTGCCTGCAAAGGCTAGAATGGTGTTGAGCACACCAATATATACCATCCGCTGCCATTGTCCTCCATCGCTCTGGCAGAGGAAGCAAGTGCTAAAGAACAAAGGTATAAAGACTGCTTCCACGATATTTGCTATCAGAAGCCAGCTTTTTCTTCTCCCCAGCTTCCGGGACAGAACTGGAATATTTATGCTGTCCACCAGAAAGGCGCAAAAAGGGGAGAATACCACGTGAGCCAGTTGCTTCTGAAGAATTAGCCACCCAGCGTTAGCCGCAGAGAGGCTTAGAACTTTCATGAAAAAAACAAGTCTAAAGGAAAAAAGGAGCTGACGTAAAATGTCATCTATCACGTGACCCACTCCACAGCAAAAGCGTTGAATTGCCGGCGTCCCAGAATTCGAAGCTGGCTCCATAAAGTAATGACAGCACGATATCCGCATCTTAACTGACACCTGCAAATAACGTTAGGAAAACAAAGTATTGCTAATTGGTTTCGATATGGTTTTGTTCAGGTTTAACGAGTACTTTTTATTGATAAATTGCAATTAGGCGAAAGTAAGCGGATTCTTCACCTTCCTGCATGTAAAATAGGCAAGTCGTTTCCAACCACGTTAATAACAGATTTATCTTTTAGGTTTCTGCACCGGCATTTCTTGAGCTAGCTGCCCGAAGCTTTTCTCTTCAATAGCGTTTTCTGCTAAGGACCACACTTTGGCAGTCGGCTTCTTAATGGTTAAAAGACATCACGTATAAAGTGACATGAGATAAGGCCATTTATTATATAGACACGAGTGTGTTACTGGAAAATATACCACTCGTAAAATTCATAAAAACTACATCCGGGAGCCGAGTGGTTTATTTTCCATAATCTCACCCGTGAGTTTATCGATGACGTAATCTCGGTAATTTCCCTGTATTATTTTATCGATGTCTTTTTGTCTTTTTATATAATAAAAAGAACATTACACGGCGGCTTAAAGATATGAATTTTATTTTCTCGTGGCATATTGTTTTGCCACTCGAAAATAAAATTCATATCTTCGCGCCACCGTGTAATATCCTCTATGTAATAACTTTAAAACACAAACTAAGCAGAAATTTGAAATTTCCGATCCAAAAAGGCGGCATATGTTGAATGGGTTTCAAGCATACAGGGTTTTTCTTTGTTTCTGTTTTTTCACAATGGCAGGTCTAGACGGTGGAAAATTTGTCTTTGTATCTGATTTCAAAGATTTTTGTTTAACGCTGTCATGGTAATATCAATTTTATTTAAAACATTTTTACATTTTTTAAAAATTCTTACAAGGTCAGTTAGTGCTGAAATTTTTATGGCCATCGGACCCGGATAAAATCTTTGTTAAGGCGATTGACGAATACTCGCTATGGTCTCCGAAAAACTGTATCGAAACACCCTTTAGGTTTGACAAGCGATTGGAGAGTTTCGGTTTATCAACTTGAAATGTTTAGAAACAAATTTTAGCATCGATTTTATTATCAGATTAATTATATATCATAATACGTAATAACTACAAAACACATTTATTTAGATGCTGACTGCAACTCTACGCAAAAAAGGTTCACCACTGCTTTAAGGTTTATCAAGTTTTTTTTTCTTTTATCCACTTTGCTTTCTTCTATTGCTTCTCTGTCCTTGAGCAACTATAGCCAGCCAGACAGAACGCTGACAACATTAACAAAAGACGGTCTTCTTTCAGCGAAATTTCGTCTGCTCGGTTTGGCCTACATACACAATCAGTACCCAACCAAAAGCTAATGGATTCCACTGAAATTAATTAATTAATTAAAAATAGTGCTGCAGTTTTCCGTTCGTAATATTCAAGCTTATTACCAAAAAAGACGGACCTCTTTAATTAATTTACGGCTCTGAAGAAAAAAATCTAATTTAAAAATACCTTTAGACACCATTCTAATAACAGTATACTCTCGACTGATTAACCTCGACCTCACCAATTACATTTTTCCAAACGTGCTCCCTCTTCTTGAAAGGGATGACAATGATGAAAGTGAATAGTACAAGAAATTTCGTATATGTTTGTTTTAACATGTCTTTCACTCGGTGTAGAATTGTTTCAAAGTAAGGCGCATTTGGCAGTCGAAGCATGTGTGGTGAGACACACAAAAAATTCTTTTTTTTTTTTTTTTTTTTTTTTTTCTTTTAAGATCTCGGCTGTTCTGTAATGACTATTAATACCTCGAGTGCTACATAACAAAAAGACTTTTCTGGGAAGCTAAGAAAAGGTAACTTAAATCTCTGCTCAGTTTATAGTTAGGAAGAGATGGCTTAACTGGACAGTCATCAGGCTTTTAACATTAAACGATCGATGGCGGTTCACAGAAAATCGAGAAGAATTAGATCTGATGAATTAAAGTCTCACCTTTAGAAACGAAGTCTATTATGTTAATCTTTCAGCTGTTAGTTCACTTCTCAGTTGACTTTTTTAAGCCTCTGAAGGTCAAACGAACTTCGTGTCCAGCTATATGTTTAGAGAATAAGTCTAGCCGAGGGCTTCGCCCTTTATATATTGCCTTTTTTGTTTTGCTAGAGGAAGTCGTCATACCACATTCGAGTATCTTTTAAATGTTTTTAGACTGAGAATGAGCTACTAGCTCAGTCTACGTGTCTACGTGTATTTATCATAACAATGACCAAGCAGCCATCCACGTACAGCTTTCCTTTTTTAACAACACAAATGGACATCGGTGCTCTTTTAACTTAACCGGATTGTTAACCAAACACGTGCTTTTTTAAGTCCCATTGTGCTTTGTATTCTTAATCATTACCATTAACTTATCTCGAAGCTCTTATATATAGCTCCATATAGCTATCCTGTATCAAGATTAAATGATTCATCAACCTTGTTTATTTTTCTCGTTTCAAATTTACCAGTTTTATTTTGCGAGTCTATTTATATAACATCAGTGGCACGCGCCTACCAGCTGTGTGCAGTGAACAGAAACTCGAAGCATCCGCCGTGTCGGTAATTAGGAGGGTGGACCATTTGATTGAGGGAAGTTGACTTTAAAAACCATGCCGATTAAATCGTAGAAACTGTTTTTGGTCCTGCTATGAAATATTCTAAATTACGTTAAAATTATAAGCGCTTAAATAGCCAGGACCACACTGACCACATTAAACGGGATTTATGGATGTGCTGTTTCAATCCTGGAGACCGTTACTTCTCAGTCTTTTTTTTTTTTTTTAATCTTTATTTGAAAGTCGACTAATAATATCAATCGTTATGACAATCTCGAATTTTTATTTTGTGCAATTATAATAATTATAACAATAAAATATGTTCTTTTAGTTAACGATCTTTGATTTTGGTTTCCCTTTATCCTAGTGAACACAGATCAGGACTGCCGCCTTCACATGCACAATACTTTGGGGTGAAAGAAGGTTGGAATAGCCTCAACGACATTTAATATTTCTGCAAGGCACTGTCGCACATATCAAGGACAAAATTAAAGAAACTTAAAACTGGCTTTGCACGCCAGTCTCAGTTGGTAGTCACGGTGCTGGGCAGTTAAGGTAAAAGAAGAACTCTGAGAAGAGGAGGCTTGAAAAACTCTAGATCGCGATCGACCACTCGACTATTATAGATCTCGTTCACGTTCTCATATCGTGACAATTAGGTCTCTAACCATTCCACCCAAAGACCAAGTTATGGAGGAAATAATTGTTACTTTAACTTCTAAATCTGCGGACGAAATCACAAAGATGTTTGCATTGAAATCAAACTTGCATTTGCATTGATCACCATAAGCTGAAGCCAGGGGTCAAAGGTTAAAATAGTGAAACCTTAGTGTTTAAAATTCCACGTGGGGCATAATCAAAATTAGGCAGTGACGTTGGCCTACAATGGCAGTTAACAGTTCCTCAGGAAATTGTGATCAGTGCCAAGTTCCTATGTCCATGACGCAAGAGGCGCCGGATACATTACTCCACCGTGACGTATTAGGTGATTGTATGATAAGCCATTAAAATGGAAGCTGAATCATTCAACGACCTCACAAACCGCCTGCAGAAACTACAGACACTTCAAGGTAAGATTTTTTGAAAGCGAACCATCTCTTCATATATTGTTGCTAGTATGTGTCAGTGTGCGTTTATTTTTCTCATTTTTGTTCCGTTTTGTTAAGTTATCAAACTTACTATTATGATTAACGTTGTTTGACTACGATAATCTCTGTACATTGGATGGACCGTTTTTATAACAGTTAGTAATTGAGAAACAAATGCATTCTGGAAGAGATAAACTGATTTGAAGACATTGATCAGCTACTGCTTGTCACGAATCAATTAAAGAACCACACTACATTTTGGGTGGGGCATTTGAGTTAACCGGCGATTTTTTTTTCTTATATAATTATCAACTTTACCATCTCCTTTACAAATTATTCAATCACTCACAGTCATACGTGAATTAAATCTAGCCATTAAGTAAGAGAAATCCAACTTTAACAGCCAGTCTATAGGTGTTTTTTCTACATTTCCTGCAACGTAAGTAATTCCCTTGAAAAGGATCTACTATCCAGAATTTTTCAAACTTGACACATTACAGCCACATATAGGAAACCGAAAACCTTACTGTAATAAAAAGATGGGGTCCCGTAATTCTAGGAGTTTTTTTTTCCTAGCTGCGTCCAAAATGTTTCAAACTTGTACAACGGTAAAAAGTCTATAAATCTTACTTATTAATAAACGTTTTCAGGGGAGGGATATTGCAAAAAATGTTTAGAAAAAAAAATGAACAGTTTTAACATTATCTTATACTATTAATTTCTGTGCATGGCTCCAAATGAGGAGTTGCACGTCATTTATCTCTATCTTGAAATAACGCAACTTCTACTCTCCAGTTTTTTTTTCTCTTTAAAACACGTATTTTTCTTGTAGCCGTAACGAGTAAAAAACACCAATTGCAATAAAACAGAAAGGTCACTCCTCTTGAGCCGTAGCAAAAACAAACAAACAAACAAACAAACAAAACGACGATTTCGGCTTCAAATGATCCTTTTGCGCAAAGGGACTGGGTCAAATTTCAAGACCAGTCGGGATGAGCTACCACAATCGCTATTAAAACCATCTTGCCCCTGTTGCGCAAACTGTGGATAGTGTTTTCAACCGGATAAATCACTATGCAGCGGATAAATATTAGGGATACCAATTACGTTATCCGCTGGATAGTGATTTATCCAGTGGATAGCGCTATGCACCTTTTGAACAACTGGGGCCTGGACTACGAAAGAGGCCTTTTGTTACCTCTGATCTCTTTGCGACCAGCGAAAAACCCCGTCAGCTTCATGATGATACCGCAATGTTTTGCGCAGTGGGTGTCATGCCCATGGGCAGTGCAAAACAAGAGAACTTTTTTTTTTACAATTAGTGACCAGC